AGGATGAAGGATGAGGGAGGAGGGAGGAGGGAGGAGGGAGAGGAGGAGAGGAGGAGAAGGAGGAGGAGAAGGAGGAGGAGGAGGAGAAGGACGAGGAGGAGGATGATGATGATGAGGAGGAAGAAGAGAAGGAGAGGCGGAGGAGGAGGAGGAGGAGACGGCGAGGGATGATGATGATGATGATGATGATGATGCTGATGCTGAATGATGATGATGATGATGATGATGATGATGATGATGATGATGATGATGATGATGATGATGATGATGTGATGATGATGATGATGATGATGATGATGTGATGATGATGATGAGATGATGATGATGATGATGATGATGATGGATGATGATGATGATGATGATGATGATGGTGCTGATGATGTGCTGTGAGGAGGAGGAGAGGAGGAGGAGGAAGATGAGGAGGAGAGGAGGAGGAGGAGGAGAAAGGAGAAGGACGAGGAGGGAGGAGGAGGATGAGGGGAGGAGAGGAGGAGGAGGAGGAGGAGGAAGGAGGAGGAGGAGGAGAAGGAGGAGGAGGAAGAAGAACCGGGAGGAGCGCATGAATCTCTCGGCCAGCTGCGTTCGGGGCCTTCCAGAGGGGCCACGTGGGCCCCCCCCTTGGGACCTCACGGCATTGTCGGGAGGCCTAAAAGGGCCCCCCTGAGGTCGAATCCCAATTGCCCTCCGGCCAGCGGTGGTACAACTAGTCCTTCTGTTCCTTTTTCCCGAGAATCCTCCAAGACGTCCCCAACAGCGCTCCAAGAGCGCCATACGGAGCCCTCTGGAGGCCGTAGGGGGTGCCCGAGGGCCCAACAGGGCCTGCGGTGCCCGAGGGGCCCAACAGGGCCCGCGGTAAAACGATGAGGGAGAAAGGAAGAGGAGGAGAAGGAGGAGGGAGGAGGAGGAGGAGGAGGAGGAGGAGGAGGAGGAGGAGGAGGAAGGGGAGGAGGAGGAGGAGGAGGAGGAGGAGGAGGGGGGGAGGGGGGGGAGGGGGGAGGAGGAGGAGGAGGAGGAGGAGGAGGAGGAGGAGGAGGAGGGAGGAGGAGGAGGAGGAGGAGGAGGGGGCGGACTGGCTGGAACAGGAGGAGGAGGAGGAGGAGAGGAGGGAGGAGGAGGGCGGAGGAGGAGAGGAGGAGGAGGAGAAGAGGGGAGGCCGGAGAGTGGATGGAGAGAAGGGAGGACGGAGGAGGAGGGAGGAGGAGGAGGAGGGAGGAGGAGGAGGAGGAGGAGGAGGGAGGAGGAGGAGGAGGAGGAGGAGCGAGGGGAGGAGGAGGAGGAGGAGGAGGAGGAGGAGAAGAAAGAGGAGGCGGGAGGAGGAGGCGGAGGAGGAGGAGGAGGAGGATGAGGACAGGAGGAGGAAGAGGGCAGAGGAAGAAGGAGGAGGAGGAGAGGAGGGGGAGAGGAGGAGGGAGGAGGAGGAGGAGGGAGGAACAGGAGGAGGAGGAGGAGGAGGAGGAGGAGGAGGGAGGAGGAGGAGGAGGAGGAGGAGGGGCGGAGGAGGAGGAGGAGGAGGAGGAGGAGGAGGAGGAAGGAGGAGGAGGAGGAGGAGGAGGAGGAAGGAGAGGATGAGGGATGAGGATGAGGAAGGAGGAGGAGGAGGAGAAGGGGAGGAGGAGGAGGAGGAGGAGGGAGGAGGAGGGAGGAGGAGGAGGAGGACGAGAGGATGGAGGAGGAGGAAGGAGGAGGAGGAGGAGGAGGAGGAGGAGGAGGAGGAGGAGAGAGGAGGAGGAGGAGGAGAGGGAGGACGAAAGAGGAGGAGGAGGAGGAGGAGAAGAGGAGAAGGAGGAGGCGGGAGGGAGGAGGAGGAGGAGGAGGAGAGGAGGAGGAGGAGGAGGAGGAGGAGGAGGAGGAGGGAGGAGGAGGAGGAGGAGGAGGAGAAGGAGGAGGAGGAAGAGGGAGGAGCGCATGAATCTCCTGGCCAGCTGCGTTGGGGGCCTTCCAGAGGGGCCACGTGGGGCTCCTCTTGGGACCTCACGGCATCCTCGGGAGGCCTAAGAGGGGCCCCCTGAGGTTGAATCCCACTTGCCCTCTGGGCGGCGGTGGTACAACGAGTCCTTCTGCTCATTTTCCCGAGAAGCCTCCAAGACGTCCCCAAGAGCGCCCAAGAGCGCTTCAAGAGCGCCCTATGGGGGCCCCAAGGGTTCACCTGTCTGCCTACGAGGTCGGGGGGGGAGCTGAATTTCAGCCCTCACTCTTCTGGAGCGGTTGAACCCAAGATCTCCTCGAGAGGGCGCCAAGACCGCCGCCAAGAGCACAAAAAGGACCCAAAGAGGACCTGAAAGAGGATCCAACAATGGCGCCAATACGGCCCCCAAAGGCCATCAAGTAGCCTGCAACAGGCTTCACAAAAGGCTCGCGGAGCGAAGCCTCCGCGAAGGCCTTCTGGTTGAATCGTCGTCGTCTTTGCGTCGTCGTCGTCGTCGGCGTCGTCGTCGTCTTCGTCGTCGTCTTCAAACTCGCCTGGGCTTCATATTTGGATGGACTGGTGAGGATACCTTTGATCGCGAGCGCGAACAGAAGGGCCGCGCGCCGTCCAAAGCTACAGCTCACCAGCAGGAGCCTAAATTGCACACGAGGGGGAGGAAAGGAGAGACAACAGGAGAGAGGACTGGTGAGGATACTTTTTGGGTAGCAGCCGCAGGCGAGAGCGCCAGCAGCGAGTAAGGTCCAACCGGGCCGCGCGGGGGCCTAATGACCTAGCGCGGGGCAGAGCAGGACCTACCGCCGGGGGAAGCCTCAGCGCCGGGGCTGCAGGCGGTGCCGGCGCTGGGGGCTGCAAGCTGCCGGGGCTGCCAGGGAGCTGCAAGCGTGCGGAGACCAGGGAGCTGGGTCACCAGGTGTGTGAATTGAGCTGCAGCGAATTAACCAACCACAGTTGGGACGACTGGTGAGGATACTTTTTTTTACAGCCGCAGGCGGAAGCGCCAGCGGCGGAAGGTCGCGAACGGGCCGCGGACGCGACTAAATTACCTAACGCGCGCAGGGCCGCGGACCAGACGGCTCACGACAGCGTCCAGGGAAGACGATGCAATCCAGGTGCCATGACAGCCCCTGAACGGGCATGCAGGTGCGTCCAGCAGGCCTGAGGTAGGCACCGAGACCACCAAGCGCAGCCAAAATGGCGCGAAAACGTTCCAACGTCCAAGAGTGGACAAGGGAACGACCGAGGACGCCAGCCCCAGCCTGTCGGGTGAAACAGAGGTCGGGGTGGTAAGTCCAACGAGGATCCCGACGGCGGCAGCGAGCCGCGGCGTCAGCGACATCAAGGTGTATCCATGGTCCGAGAAGACAACCACACCAAAACGTATCGGCCCAGACCCAACGGGTGGAAGGGCACCGGATGCACGCTCCCGTCGAAACGCGGCGTGAAGACTGGTGAGGATACGCGAAGCGTCCAGAATTTCGCCGACAACGCCAACGCGGAAGAAAACGCTGGGCCAATCGGTTGTCATGCCCACTCTCCCCTGATGTCATCAGCCGTGCAAGGGAGGACGAGGAAGATCGAGACTTTGAGGAAGATCGAGACTTTGAGGAAGGTCAAAACTTAGAAATGTGTGGCTCTTTTGGGAGGCCCCTGGAGGCCTCCGGGAGCCTCCGAGGGACCCCGGGGACAGCTGGGGACCTCCGGGAGACCTCCGAGGGCGCGCCGAGGATGCCGGCTCGACAGGTCTTCCTCTGACTCGCGCCGCCCTTGGCAGTACAGGGCAGTTTCTTTTGTACATAGGATGTTTAAACAAAAACATATATGACTTTTACATACATGATCAATGTATGAATACATTGATTTATGCATGAACTCATCGTTGTTTGAAATACTAAATCCCTCTATGTTCAATACATGATCCGCACGCGGAGCATGTATTAAAAAAAAACGGCACTGACATCAAGGTTTCGCCATATGAGAAAATGGCACGACTTCGCATCGATGCAGTCGTTGCGCCGATTCGTGGGCAACTTACGCACCACTCAGAAGTCTCGAGATCAGATGGCGCTGGGCGTCTCGATGGGCCGCTGCATGTCTGCGGGGCGCTGGGACGTCTCAAATGCCTCGATTATCGCGGTGGCGTCCCTACACAGGTGCTTACAGGTGTCGGTTGCAACGACTTTGTGGACGCTAGTGTCGAAGTGACGAAACCCTTGGGATCCGTCTCAAGAACAAGCAACTCGTTCAAATTGCTGGCGTCCAAACAGGAAGCGTGTAAAGTTGAGCGCCTGCTGGCGCCAGAAGGGTGGTGACGTGGAGTAGCTAGATGATGTGCGCGTCACACGTCAGGACGCGTCTTCCTCTTGCGCTTTGGATCCTCGTGGAAGTGATCGCAGGTTGGGGGGGGGCATGAGGGCGACGAGGAGGGGGGAGGGCGACAAGGAGGGAGGACGAGGAGGGCGATCTGCATGATGCGATGACTGTATCAGCGTGTTCGTCTCGTCAGAGGCCACCAGACCGGCCAGCAAGCAGACCCAGGGAGGACGAGCAGATGCTGAGCGGCCCGTCCGCCCTGCGCTCACACAGCCAAGCCCCGGGAAGCCCTATCCTTCGGTCGGGCGTGTCCTCCTGCAGGCTGAGTTTGGACGACCAGTGATAGATCGTCGAAGTATATTCAAAATTGTTCGAAATTCGTCCCCAGACAACTTTTTTGACTCTTTTTGAACACTCCTCCTGTAGAGGGGCATGCCCGACCTAACCTTGGCCGCCCCGCGATGGCCGAAACTTCTGCTTGGGCCGCGGACGCCGGCGCGCAGGAGTCGGTCGAGCAGTCGGCGGGGCAAACCGAAACGAAGTGGAGCCGATGGCCGAAGCAGCCGGGCCCTGCGAGGCAGCACGAGAGGCTCCAGCGCGCGGCCTCTAGCCCTCCTCCCTCCTCCCTCCTCCCTCCTCCCTCCTCCCCCCATGCCTCCTTCCCTCCCTCCTGCCTCCTCCCTCCCTCCCTCCCTCCCTCCCTCCTCCGCCCTGGCCGCGGTCTCCCCTTGACAGCCTCCATGCCCGCCCCAGGCGCCGGCGCCTGCAAAGGCCATGTCGGCCTTGCCCAGCATGATCTGCTCCATGGCGACGCCGATGCAATGCCTTGGCGGGGCTCGAGCAGGCCAGTGTGGTTGGGGTGCTCGCGTTGTTGATGTGCTGGTCGTTGTTGTTAGTGTTGTTGTTGAATTCTCATTTCAAAGAACTACTTATTATTGATCCCCCCACCGGTGCATACTGATTTTTCTCCATCAAAGTGTGCCCCTCGACGCTCGCACCCTGTTTTTTTGACAGGGAAAGTCTTCCTGCTCAAACTGCGCCCCTGGTCCCCGGGTTACATCAACAACGGCTCCCACCTGTGACTTCCTTACAATTTAGCCAGGACCCCCGCTCCCGCCCAAGACTTCCTCGCATTTTATTCAGGAATCGCGCTCTCGCTTGGGACTTCTTTACAATTTATTCAGGAATCGCTCTCCTGGCGCTCTGGAGTCGCGCTCTCGCTGGAGACTTGCTTGCAACTTACTGTAGAATGGCCTTGCGTTGGACTTTCTTGCAATTTGCCCAAGCGCCGCGCTCCCGACACCCAGGCACCCAGGAGTCGCGCCCGTTGTGGCCCCATGTGCATGCCCTTCGTGGCCCCGCTGTCGCCATTTGTGTCCCCCTCATTGTCCTACGTGGCCCAGTTGCTACCATCAGTGGCCCAATAGTTGCGTTCTGTGGCCCCGCATTATCTGCACTTCGTGGCCCCCGCTCGTTCGCTTTCTTCGTGGCCCCATACGCATTCCCTTCGTGTCCCCGCTGTCGCCCTTCGTGGCCCACTTCGTGCCCTTCGTGGCCCTGCTGTCGTTATCTCTCGCTCTCGCTTTCGCTCGTCGTCGCCGTCGTCGTCGTCGTCGCCGTCGTCTTCGACGTCGTCGTCGTCGTCGTCGTCGTGGTCGGTCCCCTGTCCGTCCCTCTTGGGGTCGGGTCGACGGTCCGCGGCCGCCCCGCCGATCAGCGCTGTCGCTGGCCAGGCCGACGGTCCGCGGCCGCCCCGCCGCTTGCCAGGGCCCGGCCTGCAGGCTCGAGGCGGGGAAGCATCGAGCTGCCGTCGGCGCTGCTTCGCCAATAGCTGGGGCGAGGGGCCCCACGATCGCAGACCCGCAGGCTCCTGGGCGGAGTGGGCCGTCTGAAGGGGCCCTGGGACACACAAGCAAATAGACACAGATAACGGGATTCCCCATATTTTCTCATATCTTCTGGGTTTTTGTCTTCCCCCCCACTTCCCATATTTTCCTATATTCTCTGGGAATCGACCATCAATTGTGTCTGTGTGCTTTTTTCCCTCCTGACCGTCGGGCTCCCCTCGGCGATGGAGGGGCGATGGGGGGTCGGTGCGTGCCCCCCCGGAGCCGGTGCCTCCCGAACGCTGCCCCTGGACTCCCTTGGGCCGAGGATGGCGGCCACGAGGAAGGAGGCTCCACGCATCCCTGCTCCTTCGCCCCTCAGGTCGGACGTTGCCGAAGAGGGTGACGTCGCAACAAGAACACAGCCGGAAGCCGTCCAACATCGAATCGAAGCGACTCGGATCGTGGGGATCGAAGCGATCCCTCTCGACTAGAGGCCTCCTGGATAACTAGGGTCCGAGCAGATGGGGTCGAAAGATCGCGCCGCATCACCAACGCATCGCCCGCCAGAGCCACGGGCCCCATCTTTCTGTGGCGGCACTTCTCGAGCAAGATCGATCTGCGAGGCCCCGGATCTCTCGAGGCCCAGACCTCCGACGTCGTGACTCTTTCACAACGTCGACCCCCAGAGGTCTGGACCACTTCCCCGGGGCTGGCTTTTCGTCCCGAGTCGTCTACTGACGTTCCCGAGGCCCAACGAGGGCTCCCGGAGGCCGAAAGAACAACGAACAATCCCCCGTCCTGAGTATTCACCACGCGAGGAGGTCTGGGGACTGGGCGGAAACGCCCAGTGTGGAAAAATGGCAACGCCAGGATCTCAGGGTCTCTCGCCGAGGCTGGGCGCGGCACGCGCCGGTGGAGCACGCGGAGGAGATGGAGAAGGACGGGCCCTGCACCTGCGCGCGCGCGCGTCCGCGGGGTGCCGCCGGGCGGGCCGCTCGGCTACGGTCAACCCGTAGAAGTTCCGAACGCTCCTCCTCCTCCTCCTTCTTCTCATCATCCTATCCTCCTCCTCCTCCTCCTCCTCCTTCTTCTCCTCCTCCTATCCTCCTCCTCCTCCTCCTCCTCCTCCTCCTCCTCCTCCTCCTCCTCCTCCCCCTCCTCTCCTCCTTATTACGCTCGTCCTCGTCCTCCTTCTTCTTCTTCTCCTCCTCCTCCGCCTCCTCCTCCTCCTCATCATCCTCCTCCTCATCCTCCTCCTTCTCCTCCGCCTCCTCCTCATCCTCCTCCTGTGCCTCCTCACGAGTTGCCTCCTCCTGCTCCTCCTTTTCAGCGTCCTCCTCCTCCTCCTGCTGCTGCTATTGGCTGATATGATGTTATCCTGAAGCCGTTCTCCTCCTCCTCCTCCTGCTCCTGCTCCTCCTCATCATCATCCTCCTCCTACTTCTCCTCCTGGGCCCCCTCATGATTCGCCTCCTCCTGCTCCTACCACACTTACCCTTCCTCCCAGTCCACTTCATCGGCATGTGCAGCCAGGCGAGTCCATCCGCTCAGCCTCGTTCCGTCGTCGTCCTCCCTCCAGCTCCTCCTTCTCATCCGTCGTCCTGCTGTTTCTCCTCTCCATCCTTATAATCATCCAAACTCTGCTCCTCGCCGTCGCGACATTCTACGCTTTACGTAATGCAGCTTGCAGGTTGATCCACGATGCAACAAAACGTCAGGCCGACAATGCAACAACATGAGCAGAACACTCAGTTGCAACATCACAGCTGTGCCGCTGCTGAGTGGATCACGCGGACAGCCGCATGCATCAATTGAATAGCCAACGCAACACTCAGACTACTCTGAAGCGATCCACTCACGTCTTATCTGTACTTCTGTCAACGCTCCGGTTTGACTTGACACGGCCTTCCCAATCCTACTCGGCGATGGCAAGATGTATTGCCCGTATTATCCTCCGCCACCTTCTTCAACGTCCCCCCTCCCTCCTCCATCATCCCATCGTCACCCCATTCCCATTGCCCTCCCTCATCCACTTATTCCCTGTCACCCCCTCCTTACCCCGACCTATTCTGCCCTTGTCTATCCCCAATCCCCCTCCTGCCCTTACCTACATCCCCAGGACGAAAGTATTGACCTGGAACGGGCCCGGAACGACGGTTTGAAATCGTGAGCCGACGCGTTTGAGATAACCGCCGAAGGATCTCATGAAGGTCGAGCGGATCCAATTGTGGTGCCGGTTCTTGTTTCGGTGGATCCGATTTCCGCCCGCGCGGATCCGACTTCGGATTTGCTGGATCTGCGTCTGGCCTTACTCTTCACGGCGGATCCGATTTCTACCCCGCTTCAAATTGATAGCATCAAAAAATTCAAGAGGGGAACCAGACGAAATCAGATCCGAGGACCTCGGAACCCGCCCGTGCTAAGATTCTACGGAGGAAGGGGGTTCGGGTTCGGTCTCCCAGGATGGGTCCTGTGCTGTCTCGTGCGCTCCCATCAGCTTTCCACGCGCGGGGGCCCGACTCAACATTCATGCATCTCTCTCCTCCTGGACGAGCTGCCCGCAGCTCGTCCAGACGCCGTTCGTTCGGAGGCGCCGATGTTATCTGTCGAACTCATCATCGCCAATTTCATCTCAAGAGGAAATCTTTCGTCCTGCGTACGTAGTACTCACTTTCCATGAAGCCATCCGCAGGAGCTGCCAGCATACGAGCTCGAGGTGGCATGCGGAAGGCAGGCTACAAGGCAGGCTGCAGACCAAGCTAGAGGCAGACGGAAAGCTGAGCGGATGGGCAAGCTGAGTAATATGAGTGAACACCGATCTAAGCACATACGACGGCAAGATGCACGGCAAACTGTGACAGACCGCCGACCCTTCGGCGTGTGTGAGACGCTGTCGCCGTCTTCGTCGCCGTAGCCAGCCCCAAGAGAAACGTCGTAGTTAAGCCGATTCCCTCCCCATCCCCCCTCCCTGACGGGGGGGGGGCAGGGGGGGGGGGAGGGAGGGGGGTAGGGGGGGGTCCTGGGCCAGGTTGCCGCACCTCTCCCCCCCTCCCTGTGATCCCGGCGGCCATCCCTCCCCCCCTCCCCGGCCGCCCCTGTGTACAGGAAGGGCAGGGGGGGCGGGCGGCCCTGCAGGGCGCGGGGCGGGGTCCTGGTGGGGGGTCGCGGGGAAGGCCCTGTCTATGGTAGCGTGGTCCTGGGTTAGAATGCCGCCCCCACCGAGGTCCAGGCGGGCCTGGGGGGGGGGGCCAGCGGGGTTCTCGGGGAGGTCCCGCCTTCAGGGTCGGCGGCACAGGCCACAAAGTAGGAACAAGGAACGGCGACACCAACACCAACAGGGCGAGGATATGCGCGGAGGCAAGGAGGGTCTACCTGGTGGTGTGGTCCCCCCCTCTCGCTCGAGACATCCGCAGTCTCTCGCTCGGGGAGGCATCGTGGACCTCCTCGCTGGAAGTGGGCCCCCTGGTGTTGTTGGTATCGCTTCTCCTCCCTCCGACAAAGCCCTCACAACCTGTCCGAAGGGCAAACCAAAAGGCAGGACGCATTCCTTCTTCCTCCGCCCTCGTCCTCGGCCCTCGCCCTCCTGGCAGCGTGCGCTCTCACTTCCGCCGCCTCCGCCCCATCCCTCCTCGCCTTCAGTCGGGCCTGTCCCCCAACAGGGGAATTTTAGACGAAAAATCAAAAATCCCTCAAACATACCCCCAAATGTCCAAAAATACTTAACGATTCGTCCCCAAACGATTTTTTGGCTATTTTTGGCTACTCCCCCTGTAGACGGGCAGGCCCGACTGAATCCTCGCCGGGGGGGAGAAGAGGTACCCCTCGACGACCCCACGAGGGCGCGCCCCACTCTGGAGCGAGCCACGCGGCCGCCTCCTCCGAAGCCCGCGATATCCAGAGATGTTGGCGCCTCGATCCTCCTCCTCCTCCTCCTCCTCCTCCTCCTCCTCCTCCTCTTTGGCCGACTTCAGTAGCCCAGGATCCAGAGATCCCTCGATGCACGCAGGACTGACCCTCGGCAGGAGTGGCCTCCGGTGCGCGGCCCAAGGGACACCGCGAGGAGGCCAAAGCCAGGCGCGCATGCCGATGCCGGGAGGACCCCATGTGAGTCGGGCGGGTGGTGCAGTGGAGGCCAGTCCACAAGAAGCCCAACGCTGAGACCCAAGGGCGTCTATTAGAGGCCCCCTAGATGGGGTCGGAGTAGATGGGGTAGGAGGATCGCGCCGCATCGCCGATACATCGGCGATGTATCGGCGATGTATCGGCAATGCACCGGCGATGCAACGTCGACATGGGCGGTGCATCGTCGGAGTCGACGTGGAGCAAGTCGGGCTCCGCATCGAGCTGCATCGCCGATGCATCGGCGATGCGGCGCGATCCTCAGACCCCATCTGCTCCGACCCCACCTAGGAGGCCTAGATCTATTGATGTTTGGGCGTGGGAGCGTCACGCCTTCCATGGCAAGACCATCGACGCCCGGGAAAAGCCCACGGCACCCCGGAGGCAGGCAGGGTGCTGAACTCGGCATGCGGCCCCCGCTGCACCCGCAAGACTGGTCCCCGGGGGCGAGAGTGGCCTCTTGGACCGCGGCCCGAGCTGACCACGAAAAAACACATCCCCAATCCCAAAATCGCGGATTCACCAAGGATTCGAAGATCGGGGAAAGATTTCGGGGTATGTTGTGCGCTCGTCGTCGTCGTCGCCCTGGTAAAACCCTACCCCAAAATCTCCCTCCCCGAAGTCTCGAGGAGCCTGCATTTTGTCTTGGCCCTCGCGTTTTTGGGATTGGACATATGTTTTGACTTAGTGACAAGTGGCACCGCGAGGAGGCCAAAAAGCCAAGCGCACAGGCTGGTGCTGGGAAGACCCCTGTGAGTCGGGCGGGTGGTAGTGGAGCGTGGCCTCAGTGGCAGGAGAGCCCGGAGTCGGATCGACAGATCGAAACGAATCGAAGGTCGAATCGGATCGGAATCGGAAACCGTCGAGTTCGAAACGGATCGAATCGGAGGAATCGAAACGAGCCCTGCAGTGGGGGGTGAAGAACAGGGCCCCTCTAGGGCTCTGTTCTGCACCCCCCACCTTCGAGCCACCCCCCCATTACCACCAGCACGATCCCCTGTGGGCCCGCACCAGAGATCGCTCCGGCGAAGGGCCCCTCCTACGCGCAGCCGGCACTGCTGCGTCCGTCGCCTTCCGCTGAGCGTCTGCCAGCGGGCCCGCCGCCGCTTTCCCCCAACGGTTTCCGCCGGCCTTCCGCCAGCTTTTGCCGAAGGCGAGTCACGCCGAGGGCGCTGAGCCTCGTTGAGCCGATCCCTATCTCCATTGGCGTGACCGTGGCCACACTGGCCGAATTACCTACCCAGGTGGAAATATGTACCTGTTCATGCGGCTGTCGCTGGTCACTCCCCACCCCGGAGCGTGGGGCTGCGATACCACGGCCCAGTGGGGATGGCAATGGCTTAGACGATGCTGAGGTGAGGCAATTTCTGGAGGCGCCATGTGGAGGAGAGACGAGAAGCAGGAACGAACAAGGGGGAGGGGCCTTGAACCAGGAGGACAGCACGGCGGAGACCGTGGAGCCCATCGTCCTGGGCACGCGGTAGGGCCCGACCTTCGCGTGCCAGGTCTTCGACTGCTCCTGGGCGGCGAGGAGACGTGCCCTTCGAGCAGCGGCAAGGGGTGGCCACCCCGAGGAGGAGGGTGACCACTTGACCTCCTCGAGGGGACGCAGAGGAGGGAGGGCCGAGGGGGCCTCGTGCGTCTTGGGGCATCCCTGAGAGCCCTCGGGAGGGCTCAGTGGGTCGGGGGCGCGCAAACATGGATTAGCTGGATCAGCGATCCATGGATTTGGCGCGCGGTCGCCAAATCCATGGATCGGGGGAGGTGCCCTCCCCAACATGCGGCCGGCGCCGCCCCGCTCGGCGGCGGAGATCTGCGGCTTCCCATGGAAACGGGACCCGTCGCTAATCCACGCCCCCTTGATTTGTGATGCCATGACAATGGACACTCTAACAATCCTATCATTGAATGAGACATGTGTTTGACTGTTTAACATTTGTAAAACATGCTCAAATCAAGGTTCAAACATATGTGTATGTAGTTTAAACATGTTTGAAACATGTCTTAGACATCTGGATATTATTTGGCAGCGTGCTTCCTCTCCGCTAATCGACTTCCACAACCCTTGATCCATGTTTGCGATCGCCCGAGTGGGGGCCGTGGGGGCTCCCCTCCCTCGAGAGGCTGTGGCGATCCCCCCCTGGCGGTCGCCCCCCTCCCCTCCGTTGAGGCGCTGCCTGGGGCCCTCGCCCCAGGGGCGAGCCCGGCGGCGAGGCGACGACTCTCGGCTGGGAGCCCCCCCCCCCCGCTCGCGTCGTGACCCGCTCGGCGGCCCGTGAGGATGCCACGAGCGACGACCTCCTCCTCCTCCTCCTCCTCCTCCTCCTCCTCCTCCTCCTCCCCTCCCTCCTCTCCTCCTCCTCCTCCTCCCTCCCTCCTCCTCCTCCTCCTCCTCCTCCTCCTCTTCCTCCTCCTCCTCCTCCTCCTCCAATCCTCTCTCCTCCTCCTCCTCCTCCGCCTCCTCCTCCTCCGCCTCCTCCTTCTCCTCCTCCTGTCACGAGCGGCGAACACATCCGCACCCGCGCCCACCGCGGTCTGGCATCGATCGGCGCTGGACCCCCTCTCTGGCGCCAGAGGCACCGCCAGGGGAGCCCAGCGCCGATGCGAGAGCTCCCTGCGGAGGCCTGACAAGACGATGCGTGTGCGCCAATGGTTGGGCGGCGATCCAGGAGGGTAATGCAGGGGGGGCGGGCCCTTCAGGAGGCTCGGCAGGCCTCGGACACTCTGAAAAGGGTTTCTGGATTGCTTCTCTTTTCCTGTCCTCCGAGAGATGGAAGAGGGAAGGGGGAAACCGACTGGTACCGATACCGCTACTCCCCAGACCTCTCCTGGGGGGCGTCCAGACCAACATGTCGAGGCGAATCCAGCGGTGGCGTCGAGGGCATCCCAGGAGGCCCCGAAAAGGGGGAACCAGGGGGAACCAAGGGAAGGACAGCGGAATGGGGACCTGTTCCTCCTCCGAGTTTTTTTGCTTCGAGAAGCGCAAGGGGGGGGAGGGAGCGGAACCCGCCTTGACCGCGGAGACCGACTCGATCACGTCGTTGATCGAGGTGCCGCCCTGCCCGATGATGCTCGCGCATCGCGGGTTGTGCTCGTAGTGCTCGGGCCGCAGCCCGGCATCCTCGCGGGGGAAGCGGGGAGGGGGAGGACTAGCGGAGAAACATATTTTGAGGAGGAGGAGGAGGAAGAAGAAGAAGGAGGGAGAGAAGGACAAGGAGAGGAGGTAGGAGGATAGAAGTGGAGGAGGGCGTAGGAGAAGGAGGATCAACGGTGCAAACTCAAGACTCAAAGAAGGAGGAGGAACGGTACGTTCCAGAACGCTCCAGAACGCCCTGAGAGCGTTCTGGAACGCTCTGAAATGTATTGAGCCTCATCCTAGCCCCGTCCGAAAAAACATACTCTTTTGAGGGGGAGAGGAGGAGGAGGAGGAGGAGGAGGAGGAGGAGGAGGAGGAGGAGGAGGAGGAGGAGGAGGAGGAGGTACAGGAGGAGGAGGAGGAGGAGGTGGAGGAGGAGGAGGAGGATGGAGCGCGACCACACAACCTCACACTGCGCGGCCACAACCGCTGTGCGAATCACAATGCCGCCAGGCGAACCAAGATCCCATCGCGAGCCGACCTGCGACAGGTACGCTCATGCAGAGAACCGTGGCCTGGAACGGGAAAATGAACGTGCCGCATCCGAAGATCCCACGAAGCCCAAACGGCCAACGATATCACCTTCGCAAAACACGAAGCGAGGTGGCGAGAGGAAGGGTGAAGAGGGGAAAGGAGGAGAAGGAACGAGACAGGGGGGAGAGCGGCCATGACCAGCGGAAAAATGTTGCTCCCTCTTGAGACTGAAGACGAGGCCCATGCCTCGGAACCTGGTGGCACCACCACTGGATGTCGACCCTGCATGCAGATGTCCCCAAAGACAACACAGCATAGAAATTGGCATGACATGGTTCTCCATCGTCAAAGCTCGAGGAGGCTCGAGGACGACGAAGACGAGGACGAGGGCGAGGACGACGGCGTCATCGACTGGCTCCAGGCTGGCCCCTGAATAAAACCTCGAGAGGAAGGGCGAGCGATCCTCGATGGCGTTTGTCAGCGCGACGAATGCGAAGTGGCCGTTGCGGCCCATGAACCGCGCGGCCTCCCGGGGAACAATCTCCTGGATCTCCTCATCCGTCAGCTTGACCTTCCCGACAACCTGTCCGGAGCTCGCACTGGAAACGTGCCCGCACGGGCTGCCTTCCGCCCCTCAGCACCATGCTCTCTCTCTCTCTCTCTCCTCTCTTCTCGTACCTCTCACGGCCTGCTTCTACCCAAGCTTCTACTCTTTTGTTGTGCTCTCTCTTTTTTTTTTCTCTCTCTCTCTCTCTCTATCCCTCTCTCTCTCTCTCTTCTCCTCTCTCCCTCTCTCATTCTCTCATTCTCTCATTCTCTCACTCCCTCCCTCTCCCCCCTCCGCCTGATCGCATCCACGCTCTCCTCGCCATCATCCTCATGAACCTCCTCTCCTCCTCCTCCTCCTCCTCCTCCTCCTCCTCCTCCTCCTCCTCCTCCTCCTCCACCTCCTCCTCAGAACACCGCGAGGCCTCTGGATGTCTCTGCAGGTCTATGGATGTCTCTGGAGGTCTCAGACAGAAGGGGCAAGAGTCGGAAGGCAGGCTGGGAGGAAGGAGACTCCTCCTCCTCCTCAAATCCCGTTCCCTCCAATCCCTCCTCCTCAAATCCCTCCTCCTGCTCCTTCTCCTCCTGCTCCTCCTCCTCCTCCTCCTCCTCCTCCTCCTCCTCCTCCCCTCCTCCCCCTCCCCCTCCCTCAATCCCTCCTCCTCCTCCTGTTCCTCCTCCTCCTCCTCCTCCAATCCTCTATCCTCCTCCTCCTCCTCCTCCTCCTCCTCCTCCTCCTCCTCCTCCTCCTCCTCCTCCTCTTACTCCTCCTCCTCCTCCTCCTCCTCCTCCTCCTCCTACTCCTCCTCTTCCTCCTCCGTCCGCCCTCCTCCTCCAATCCCTCCTCCTCCTCCAGGTCCACCTTCCTCCTCCTGCGCATGTTCCATCGCATTTCCTTCTAACCAACTCATCCCTGTCCACACCCCAGACGCGTCGGTATTGCAGGCTGGGCGTTTCGCCTGAGGCTTCCCCACGGCCCCACCACCTGTGATCCTGACGCTTGACTTTCGCAACAGCTTCACCGACGGAGGGCGGGTCGTTTCCAAGATGTGTCTCTCACATTAGCGCCGCACACATTCATCTTAAAACATGTGACTGTTTCACGGATGGAGGGCGGACCGATTTCAAACGGTGGCTCTCGCCTTAGCGCCGCGCACATTTTTCGTAAAAGGTTGCAACCCTCTCACTGGTGGAGGGCTGGCGGTGAAACAGCAAGTGCTCTCGCCTCAGCGCCGCGCACAAGTGTCGCACAAGTTTGCCACAGCTTCACGGATGGAGGGCGGTTCTGTTTCCAAATGTGGTTGTCGCCATCGCGCCACGCACATTCGTCTTAAACGTTTGCAACCTTTTCAAGGATTCGTATCGCTGAAGTCCCAGGAGTAATGTGCTGGCACGCTTTAGAACTGCCACTGCGTAACAGTCAGGTTGATCCGCTGTGTTGGATTCCCAGGGATGTTGTTCTGGCACGCTTTAGGATTACCAGGACGCAAGGAGTCATGCTGACTCGCGTCGTTGACATCCCAGGACGAATGTTTCAATACGACTGGGGAGTATCAAGCGGTTGTCGTCCAATGTGCACGTGCAGCAATGAAACTATCTTCTTGTAGGGCCCCATGAAGAGGGAGCTTGAAGAGAGGGTTGATTCAAGCAAAGTTGATGCGTCTTGTCCCTCCTCCTCCTCCTTTTCCTCCTTCTCCTGCTCTCTACCTTCCTCCCTCCCTCCCTCCTGTCCTGCTCCTCCTGCTATTCCCCCCCCTGCTCCAGACCGACGCCGCTCGTCGTTCAGGCCCAGAGGAGGTCCACGTACGCCGGCGAACCAAGAAGACATCGCACCAGAACCCTTGCCCCTACTGCCCCCTCTCCCTCCTCCGACGAGGACCCAAACCGCTGGCGAGTCATCAAGATCGCGCCAGGATATGTTTGCCGCAATATGCACGATGTCTGGGCGCCCTTTTACTGAGCCCTGCCACCGTCAACAAAAAAAACACCGAGGATGAACGAAACGCTCCACGGAAAAGGGGTCGAGAGGTCCTGGGTCGGAAGCCGTTCCGAAGCATCCGGGCCGTGCTGGCAGCGCTGCAGAGCCAGGAGCTCGTGCTCTCGGCCGAACGTGCACCGAGGCGCTGGCAAAGGCACCAACGGGGGACGCACTGACCCAGGTCAGTGCAAGCCTGGGATCAGTCAGGCCTTGCAGGAGCCTGCAGGATCCTGCAGGATCCTGCAGGATGCTCCCTAACCCGGGTCAGTGCCCCCATGGCTCTGCAGGATCCTGCAAGATCCGGCGCACTCGCTGACTCCCGATTGAATTGACCCCCGTCCCTGGAGCCCCGACGTCGTGCCAGTCCCAGCGTAACGATACCAACTGTCCACCCACATGGGCTGGGCATACGGTCCTACAAGGGTCGTGCGCCCTGGCGCACAACAGGGCAGGGCAGGCAGGATGGTCGGCCGTGTCGTTTGCTCTCGGGACCGCCGCTGCCATGACAGCCGCTGTCGTGTACGAAACCCATCCACGCATAGGAGGAGCAGGAGGAGGAGGAGGAGGAGGAGGAGGAGGAGGAGGAGGAGGAGTAGAGGAGGAGGAGGAGGAGAGGAGGAGGAGGAGGAGAAGGAGGAGGAGGAGGAGCGAGCGAGCGAGAAGGAGAAGGCAAGCCGCTGCTACCGCGTCGCATTCAACCATCTGGGGACCCATCTGTGCCCGCACAAAAGGTCACTCTGGCGGAAGGTCACTCTTACCTTTAATCGAATGCAAGATGGGTAAACCCAGAGACTTTGCTGCGCCCGTGCACCGCGAAGAAACTGCCGTGCGGCTGCCATCCATATAGCGAGCCATCGCGTCAAACCTTTGGGGACCTCCCACCGCCCGCCGCCTGGAAACGTGATGAACCTGGTAGCCCTGTAACACTGCCGCGGGCTCGTGCCGTGTCGACCCCGCCGTTGGTTCTCGACACCGCGGGGACCGTTCAAGCCTGACCAATCGACCGCCTCCGAAACGTCAGATTGCTTAACATCGACCGATTCTGAGTCGCCAGCGACGTTCAGCGTTGAGCGCCGGCGGTGGGGTCGCCGCTGGTCGAAACGACGCGAACTTACCGTATAGTCGTAAGGCTTACAGGCAGCTCAAGCCCGAAGATGAGGCCTTGCCGAGCAGGGCTGGCACATCTATCTAGCACTATAGAACTCCGCAGCACAAGCACGACCTCGACTGCTCTCGTCTACATGGCTTAACCAGCTAGTCTGGCGAGGGGATCCTCGAGTGGATGTTCCTCGAAAGACTCGAGGGACCACTCGAACACTTTCTTGTTCCACGAGCGTGCAGTTCGCCGAGAGTTCGAGGAACCACTCGGAAAGGCAGGGCAAGGCAAGGCAAGGCGGTCTGAATGCCAAAACCGGTGCCGGAGCGGTCCCCATGGAGGGCAGACGGAGAACCTCAGAGGGGAAGCGTCAACTCCTCTGACCCTTAAATGGAGAGGCCCTTTCTGGACCGCCCCACATAGCGACGCGAAGGCGCACGGGCGACAAGCCACGACTCCAGCCCATGCCCTCCGACGGGGACCGATGCAATGGCGAGGCGGCGGGTATCGCGCCCCGTCTGTGAACGCACGCGTTCGCGTGCGCTGAAGGGAAATGATCAGGGGCGATGGGCTCCAAGGGGGAACCTGGAGCTGGAAGCGGCGATTCACCGCTGGCACGGGCCCGATATGCCGCCTACACGACCCAGGAACGTGCGGATGCGCCATCGGGGGCCCATTGCCGACCTGTCGACGATCGACGATGCATCGCCGACCCCAGCTCGCTGCTCACTCCCCTGAGCTATGCCTCCCCAGTCGTTCATGTAAGGCTCAACGACTTCTGCCGTCCCTCGGCTCGCGCTGGGGCGGCCACGATTTGCTCCAGATGTCCATGGAAATCCTTTGATTTCCCTGGGTCGACCTGGATTGGCATGGTTCTGCCCCGATTGATCTGCAACTACCTTGATACGGTCAACCCGTATCAGAAAGATGCGCGATATGTAAGAATGCAAGCTTTTCGAGCGGGCCGCGGCCAACGAAGGCAGCCAAAGACGGACCGATGAGGCACGGATGCAAAGGTACCCTTGGGAAGGCTGCCCGTCTTTACCATGCGGGTCGACTGTAATCCGGCTTGATACCCGCAAGCCGATCGGCGAAGAAACGTCAGACCTTAGGGAATCCTTGCCCCTGATGTGTGCACTGGTTGCTTGGCGGGGGCGGGCAGGCCAGTGCGCGCCAGAGCAAGCTGGCGTACGGCCAGACCCAGAACAGAATGGCATCCTTCAAGAGCTTGAGACCCTCCACCGGCCAAGCTGCAGGACGTTCGGGGATGCCTCCCCAAGGACGTCGGCGGCGAGGCAGAGGCAGTCCACACAAGCATGGGCTAATCGGGGCAACCGATGGCAAATTGTCCGGCGTGCACGAGAGAGAGAGAGGCAAAGACGAGGGCGGCCGCGCGAAGGGAGGAGGGGGAGGGCGCTCAGACGTGGAAGCGTTCCGCGGTGAGTGGGCCGGAGCGGCCAGCCAGGGCAAGAGGATGCACAAGAACACCCAGCAAGCACGAAGAGCACGAGGGCACCCTCCCCGAAGCGGCCTGGGTCTCATGCCCGGGCCCGACCGCACGCGGGCGGGGCAGGCCTCTCGGAGAGGAGGTGGCGGAGGTCGCCGGGCGCCGAGCGGTCCGAAGGTGTCCTTGCCCTGTGGTCCCCTCCCAGCCTGGCCCCTTCTGCTCCCCTCGACCACCTTCCCGATCCCCTCCTGCCCTCCCCCAGCTCCCCCTTTATCACGCCCCTGCTCGCACTCGTCTACCCCAGAGCCCACCTCCTTCCCCCTCTCTTTCTACCCCACCTCCTCCGTTTCCTGCTCCCTGACGGCTAGAAAGAACGTCGTTCTTAGACTTCGCCTCCTCGTCCTCGTCCTCGTCCGCGTCCGCGTTCTCGTCCTCGTCCTCCTCTTCCTTCTCCTCCTCCTCCTCCGCCTCCTCCTCCTCCGACTCAACGTCCTCACCACTGATCCTCCTCTTGCACGTTCTCCTCCTCCTCCTCCTCCTCCTCCTCCTCCACGTGCTCCTTCTCCTCCTCCTCCTCCTCCTACTCCTCCTCCTCTTCCTCCATTCCATTTCCTTATGCAAAACTTCTCCCTGTCGCACCCCAAGGCCAGTTTCTAGGGCGATCCGGGCGACTCGCCTGAGACTTCCTCACCATTCATGACCCTGAAGCTTAAAGAACAGCTTCACAGATGGAGGGCGGGTGTTTTTCAAAATGTGGCTCTCGCCTTAGCGCCGCGCACGTTCGTTTTAAACATTTGCAAGAGCTTCACGGATGGAGGGTGGGTGGTTTTCAAAAAGAAGCTCTCGCCTTAGCGCCGCGCACATTCGCGATTCAAAACTTTGCAAGAGCTTCACGGATGGAGGGCGGGTGTTTTTAAAATGTGGTTTTCGCATTAGCCACGTGCAGATTCGATTTGAAACTGTGCAAGAGCTTCACGGATGGAGGGCGGGTGGTTTTCAAAATGTGGCTCTCGCCTTATCGTCGCGCACATTC